TCGCCTTTTTTTAATTAATAGAAATGCTTTGAAATTGTTGATATTCAGTGTTGGTTGGTCTGTTTTTGTATGTTCGTTAACAATTCTACTATCACCCGCCCCATACCCTTGGCTGGTACATAATAACACTCTTTTCGTACAAATAATTAAAAATCTTCCCTGAAATATGATATTCTTCTTTTTAAATACATCCACTCATCTTTTTGCTAGCTGATGAATTTGCTTTTCAAAGGAGATGGTGTAAAATTTAAGTAGTGGTCTTTTTCATTTTTAAAATGCAAAAATACACCAAATTTGTTTTAGGTAGCTTCGTTTCTCCTTAGTTGAAAAGGAATGATTTCAGACACTTCCACCATCCTTAATCTAGGAATTACCGTTGGTATTAGCAGAATATGGTCACTAGGAGATATTTAACTTTAAAATCCTATGATACACGTTTCCTGTAACGAATTCAATCGACCAGATGATAAAACAGCAATCAAATGCTAATGCAGAGCACTTAGCTTATTTTCACACATTCAATAAAATGCTGTTGTTTACAAAACCTGGGGTCAGTCTCTTGTGTTGTTTGAACACCCGATCAAAGAGTTTCCACCCTTCTGGAATCACTCGGCGATAAGTACTGCAATGTCGTTCATTAGGATTTTGTGTTTTAAGAGTTTGTTTGGAATCTTGAAGGATTTGAATTTCAACAAGGTGGACATACAACACCCAGGCTTAGATCTACCTTAACCAAATCACGCCTTCGTTTCTTTTCAGACATTTTCGCAGGCTGATGCAAATGTTCAATGATAACTGAGGCGATTTATACGTTTTTAACATATATGTGTTAGGAGACATTGAGTCTTGATTTAAAACCACAGAAATGAAGAACTAAAAGTCAACTGACGCACTGCCTGTTTTAAGTTCTTTGCGTCCTGGAGAGAGAGAGCTGTGCTTTTTCAAGAGTTAAGACATCGGGATTTTATAAAGAAAATATTTTAAAAAGTACTTTTTTCCTTTTTTAAACCTAAATAGAGAAAAAATAATTCTAATTTATGTATGAACAAAAAAAAATTATTTAATCAATAAATGTTTCCGTGAACACAATTTCTGTAAAAATGTTTGCTTGTTTATCATTATTATTTTTATTAATTAAGATATGCTTTGTTAACCACTTACAAAATATGAAAAGAATTTACAGTGGCATGAAAGAAATATATTTTCCAGAAGGAAATTCTTTAAAGCAATATGAACTTTGATGTCAGAAATTTTTGTTGCAAAATTGTAATTATCTATTTCAATGAAAGAAAGGAGAATGTTTATAAACTTCTGTTGTTCACATTTGCGATGGAAGAACTATTCATATAAGCTTTGATTGAAACAAAATTACATTATTATCGTCCTGTACAATATTACTTTCTAATTAACACTATAAATTGATTTTACAGAATCCTTTATTCTGAAACAATTTGATTACAAATTTATCATAAAAACACATTTTAACAGCAAAATAAAATCTCATATTGCTTTAAACTGTGTTTAATTTTATCATTTACACATATTTTAAATACAGTGCATTGTTTAAGATTCTTTGAAAATACATAAAAATAGTTCATAAATGTGAATATCTTTCTGGCATGAAGTTTAACTATTTCCAGGTAAACATACATTCTCTCTCTCTATCTCTCTCTCTATCTCAAAATTAAAAATACGTAAAAAAAATGTAACATTTCATTTAGCATTTGCATTTAATAGTTGCAATAAACTATGACAGCAATAAAACTTCACTTAAAATTATCTCCAGGATCAAAACCATTATCTGCCTGGTTGTACTTTCAAAAAAGTTGTAATTTAAACAAAGTGAATGGAATGACTTTAAAATAAAATTAGTATACTTCTGAATTGATAAACCCTTTTTCATGTCGCAAAAAATCTCTGTATCGGACTTTTACGACAGAGAGTGAATTTTCTGCTGTCTCAATCAGATACGTCAGGAACTAGCCACGGCCCGCGGTTGTAATTCAGTTTGGATGAAGAGCCGGGTTTAGGGTCCGTCTCGCCTCATGATAGTTATCAACGCTAAATAAAGGTGTACATGCGTATAAATGTCAGGAACTTGTTCATCAAAATCCAATTTAACGACGGGGATTTCACCCCAAAACAATCGACAAAAAATTATTATTTTCATTCATTTGTTTTCTGTACAAACACGATGTATTTTTTGAGAGTGGTTGACTCCAGGGACTTAAGACACTAGTCTGCCTATTTCCTCACCTAAGAAGGACATACATGTAACATATATAGCCAACGTCTAAAAAAAAATTAGAAAGCAGAATTATTTCTTTGCTTTATTAAAGACTTTTCTATTTACTTTTTTAAACAAAAATATAATGAGGGTAATTGTAATTTTTGTTTCGTTTAAAAAGAAATTTTGCTTCGGGACTTACGATAAAAATTATCGCAAAATGTTATAAAATTTTATTTTAATAGATCTATCAGAACTGATTGATTCCTGTCTTCAGGGTATATAGACTCCACATGAGGCCACTGGTTGTACCTAGTAACCCACAACTTAGGAAAGTCTATTTTATTAATATTTTATTACCTTAATATGATTCACTAAATTTAGGAGCAACTTCAACGCCTACCCTTTAATTGTCATCTTAATTGAATTTCTTTGGAAAAAGGCTGTAGAATGTTATCTAATTGTAATAAAACTTTCAGCGGTTAATACATGTATGTATTGAAAACTTTATTTTTCTATGAGATGGAAAGAGCCCAGAAATAGACATTGGATAAAGTTGTTTAAATCCACTAATTAGTTACTTTCGATTGCATTGCCATACAACTGTTTATATAAATTTAAAATATATGAAGTCGAAAGAATTTTTGTTCAGGAATCTAAACACTGGAAAACATATAAAGCTTCATTTTTAAAGATTTTTTTTTGTAAAATTTAATAAGAATTACTTCTGTGTTAGGAAGAGAACGATTTTATTAGGAGACGTAACAAAAATAAAGAATATATGAATTTGTGATTGTATATCGTACTTTACCTATATTTTTTATATAGATGTTTTTTAGCATACTGAGATAATCGTTTCTTACTAATCTGTTCATACAAGCTATGACTAATAAAATCAATAATATCTCATACTCTCTTCTTATTCATACATCTACCTCGTAATAAACTAAACATAAAAGCCAATTAGCAGTTCTTGTCGCAAATTATCCTCATAAAGCGAACCTCCTCCAAATTGCTGTAATACTTGTGAAAGACGGCAGATGTCCGCATTGTAAACTTATTGAAAAGTTACAACATTTAATACGATTTTATTGTTCGTCAAGTGAGTAATATCTACATAGTTTGGTTATAACCGTACTATTTTGGTCAGTTAGACTTTCATCGTTCTTGCATAACGCTGATTACTAAGTGAGAATTGGTTTTAATGAGTTTTTGCGGTTCCACTTTTAATGCACTGTCTGATGCGAAGAAATGGAAAAGCCAGATACCCAAAGCTCATGAAAATATCGTATCTGATTATTATTATTATCATCATAAGAAATAATGAAAATCTTTATACAGTAGGATGAGTCATGAAGAAACATATTCCTATAATCTTCACAAGTTTATATATAGATTAAATTCAGTGTAAATATATACATGACAATGTTGTTGTTGATTTGAAAAATTCAGTCATTGTAAAAATGTATTTCAGTCAATATTATAGACTCAATCATTTTATTAAAAAGCAATGATAATAAAAATTTTAAAATAAATTAGTTAAATCTCCAGGGCTCTGAAAAGCACAAGTATTCTATGTCATAGACATCAGAACGGGAACTACAATACTTGTGTATTCTTTATATAATGTTATTTATATATGATATTCCTTAAATCTCAATATAAATTAATTTTATGTTTATCATCGCCAAAATTAAATAAGTTGATGAAATATATATATGGAGATAACGAACAGTACTCAAGCCCAGAAGTCCATTCAAACAATACAAATCAGGACCAGAGCAAACTCGGACCTCCAAAACATCAGAGGTGGGATTAGGCGCCATGGAGGAGTAAGCATCCCATTTCGAGCAGTCATATCCGCCGTGTGATCCTTGTCATGATCGGGAAATAACGGAAAAATCCGTCGACATTCAGTGTGTAAATAATAACCTAACAATCAGTATGAAAAACGCCAGTCAGCATTTTACTGATTTCTTGTTGTTTTAAATGCAATTCATACAAATCAACTCACATCCAGACTTCCAAAGTATGCGATGTTTTGTTTTTGTTTTTTGTTGTTTGTTGTTGTTGTTGTTGTTGTTGTTTGTAAATATCACATATTTATAAAAGCTTTTTATAAAGCACTAGAAATGAAATATTTTAAAGAGGATTTTACATGAAAAAATTTATTTTAAACAGTATATTTTTCACAAAATAAATCGAATAATAAGTAAGAGTTGTATAGCATTTTCTACGTTATAAACTTTTTCTCTTCCTCGAGGAGTTTTTTTTAATGGTAGTCAATTCGGCTACATGTACCCACAGAGACAACTGACAAGCTTCTTTCACTCACTTATTGCAGCATATTATGAATAAAGAGACTATGATGTAGTTTTCAAAAAAGGAGGAGTTAACTAATAAAAATCGCTTATTTTGATTCCATTTCTGTAGAATAGAATAAAATCCACGATTTCTTACCTTTATCAGTGAACTTTTAGCGGGGCGTGTAGCAAATAAAATAGTTTACTTTGATATTATTAACAGCCATGTAAAATTAATTACAATAAAGAACATGATTTTTACATAGAACGAATAAGACAGAATCGAGCTACAAAGTGCAGTATCATTTTTTTATTTACGACGAACATTGATAATTAATCAATTTAAAACAGGCAATGGCCAAAAGAATTTTGTGGCTTTCCTGAATGAAATAGTCTGTACCATGAGTGTTCTTCCAAAATGAGTCCTGTACTTTAAATTGTAATTTTATAAAATTTTACATGCTTTTCAGAGCCATGGGGACGATTAGTTTCTCAAAGAATACAACATGATCATCGAAAAGGAATATTTTGGAAACAGCGGCAGGTAAGGGATTTTGTAAGAAACTGATTTTGAAATGACATGAATGCTTAAGGAGGTTCGATCCTGTTATCAAAAGTATTGAGAATTTTTTGTCATGTATATTTTTAGAATCTGAACACATAGCTTAATTAAAAATCAAAACAAAAAATGGGGGTCAATGCGCTTCTTTTGGCGCTACACAGCATTTAATATGACCTTTTTGCGCTGTAATTACATGTAACTAAAGGAACATGTGTCTAACTCGTAAATCAATTTTTCAAAGTTTTTCCTCTAATATTTTTTATCAAAATAAGTTATTGGAACAAACACAGTCTTTTTTAATCTCGAATAGTCACATTAAAATTTGTGACAACAAAAAAGTTTCAAAATACTTCGCATAGTCAATTATATGACCTTTCTGCACTCAAAAAATGTCATTTTTCTGGCACTAAAAATTTAACAAGCAATAAAATCATGGGAAAGTTATGACGTTTTTCTGAATTTAAGATGATTGGTTAAAATTATCTTTTATATTAGAAAAGAAAATTAAAAGTGAGGTCTGTGATGTTAAATTTTAGATATTACTAAAATAATGTTAATTTTAAGCTTAAATTTGGGTTATTTTTTCCAGGACTTTCACAATATATTTGCTAAATGTGTCAAATATGATGATATAATTCTTGGCAGTTAATATATAATTTAGGACCAGCAAAAAACATTCCACTGCACAAAATAACTCTGTGTGCAGGCTGCATATAAAAATAAGAATCCAAACTTAACAATACTGTAAATACTTTGAGAGTGAAAAATTTATCATTTTCTTCTTTAAAAAAACCTTCCGCCACAAAATATAGTTCCTCACTTAATGTTTTCGGTATGGAATGTAATCATGGGATTTTATTGAATATAGTTTAATTAGCATTGAGAATCTAAATTTATTGTAAAAACTAAAACATTATGCAGATTTTTTTTTAAATAGAGGTCAAGAAAAAAATTTGCTCAAAAACTCAGGAACGAACCTCTTTAATATGCTTTCAAACTACGACATCGTAATTATAAAAACTGATGTCATCAATGTTAAGATTGTCAAACCCTTAGATATTCGTTATCTTAGGTTTGTGTAGAAAGGAAGTACGTTTAACAAAATATTACTATTTAATTTATCATAGTTTTTGTTGTTCTTCAAGCATTCGTTCTTTCCATACTCTGTAACAGCTTATGAATTTTATTTCTTCATTCAAAGTTAAAACGTATGGTACGTATAAAATGGTTTCTGTAAAATCTGTTTCTCGTGACAAGCTATAAATTCATAAATAGTTAGCTGAATTTAACAAAAAAAAGTGATGTTTGTAATTACAGTCTTAAATGCATCAGCATAACAATTTGCATTGGTTGTTACAATGCAACACAAACGTGATGTTGTTGCGATAAACTAGCTATTTGAGGGAATAGCTTGAAAAATACCCTTGTGTTATATCAAAGTCATGCTCTTCAAACGACGACATATAAATAAAAAATAATTAACATGTAATCGGTGGAAAAAAGAAAATAAGAAAATATTTGAGTGAATGTTTGTTAACTAAAGATGGTGTACTTTTGAGAACACATTAGATACGATTTTTGTTCTTTCCTCATGGATTCGTCCTTTCCACGGTTTGCAAGAACTCAAACTTGTGACTTGTACATATTATACATATACAATTTATTTCTGTAAAATCTATTTCTCACGATAAGTTTTATTCATAATTAGTTAATTTTTACCATATCTAATGGAGTAAGTTGCTGTTTATCCTCTGAGAGTATTGATGACTACAAGAATCTCAGAATTATTCTACGTATCCTTCTCTATTCAAGAATATTGCTTTGATAAACTTCTGGAGTTTATCAAAACTCCAAAAACTGGAGTTGTTGTTTCTCTCAATTTTACAACTATGCTCTGAACAAGATAATTACATCTGTACATTCTTATACACATGCATCCAAACTATTTGCGTTGCTGTTTTAATGCAACACAAACGTGATGTTGCTGCGAAATTGTTGAGGGAATGGATTAAAATACCTTTCTATCAAAGTAATGAAATAATATCAATAAATAAGAATTTAATGATTTCTTTTTTATTGATTTACGTTGTTGTGAATCTTAAAAGGCGGTATACAACTTTTCGTATGAGTAAGTAAGTAAGTGAAAATTTTATTAAGTGATATATGTATATATATAAATTTCACATTCATTATATAAACCAGATGCTGTCATAAGACAGTAATACCCACAAGTAGGTGTTTGCCTCTAAATTGACAATATTCGGTTAACAAGAGAAGAAGCAACAATATTTCTTTAATTTACAAAAAAGTCGGTTTTGACCCCCATTTTTACCCAGGGTAAAAATCGAAATTCCGAAACTTACTAGTATATGCACATCTACAGGAAACTCACAGACATATTCTAAAATATGATTGGGCTATTGTGAAAAATGTAAGAGGTGTTCAGGGAACCAGGTTTTTGGTTTAAAAAACCCCATCTTTTTAAACCCCTATTTGGCCCCCACATTGAAAATCAAAATTCTGAAATCTTATTGCACATCTACTTGACACTCTCAATCATATCCAAAAATATTAATGGGCTACTGCGAAAATTGTAAAAGGAAAGCTCAGGGAACCAGGTTTTTGAATATAAAAAACACATTTTTGACCCCCTCCCCTATTTGGCCCCAGGGTGAAAATAAAAATTCTGAAACCTTATTGCACATTTAAAGGACACTCCCAATGGGATTCCAAAATACGATTGTGCTACTGTTAAAAAATTAAGAGGAGTTCAAGGAACCAGGCTTTTATAGAAAAACAACACTTTTTACCCCCAATTTGGCCCAAGGGTGAAATTGAAAATTCCTAAACCTTACTGCACATCTAGAGGACACTCCCATTCATATTCCAAAATTTGACAGGGCAACTGCGTAAAATGTAAGAGGAGTTCAGGGAACCAGGCTTTTGTAGAAAAACCCACTTTCTGACCCCCATTTGGTCACCAGGGTGAAAATAGATATTTCGAAGCCTTTTTGCACATCTACAGGAAACTCCCAATCATATTCAAAACAATTAATGGGCTTCTGCGAAAAATGTGAGAGGAGTTCAGGGAACCAAGTTTTTTTTGTAGAAAAATCTGTTTTTGGCCACCATTTTGCCCCCAGGGTGAAAATAAAAATTTCAAAATCTATTTGCACATGTTCAAGGCGCCACCAATCATATTCCGAAAGATCAGTTGGCTACTGCTTAAAGTGCAAGAGTAGTTTGAGGAAGAAGATAGTGTGACGGACGGACGGACGTCCCAGGATAACAACTACATACCCAAACTTTCTTTACAAAGTGCAGGTATGATAAACATATATACAACACCGGCCGATCGGAGCCACAATTCACTTTTATCAGTATTACATATATATTTATAACATACATGTGATTTTTCCTTGTCTTATGTTATATGCTTTAAAAATGAAACTCGCGGTTTGACGTGGTAAATGAGTTGATAGATATTTAAATAGAGCATTTAAATCATTATTGTAAAATAATTATGTAAATTTGAAATTCTAATCTCATGTGATTTTGACACAATGCAATAAATAGAAGAAATTCACACATTTGATGAGTTGTTCATTAATCTTGGACATATCAGCGTTTTGAAAAACCAAGAACGTGATATGTTTATTGTAAAAAAGGTTGCATTGTACTCACTAATTATTTATTATCGGAACGGAGAAAATTACCAAAGATCTATACTTTTTAGATATCTATACAATATAAATGATATATGATTTTGCAATTTTAATCTCATGACATTTTAATATCGTAAATATGGTGACAGAACTGCAGATGTCTGATTTGAGATACATTAATAACAGGTCATTAGATGTTACAGTACTGCAAGTACTACCACCCTGTGCAAGGCTTCCTAATAACTTAATTCATCACAACTATTTTTATTGATAACATGTAATGTGAAATGATTAATTGAAAATCGGTTGAATTGAAGTAAGAATTCTTATCAAAAGCTTTCTCCGCGATTTGCAAAACAAATTTACAGCATTAAAATAGTTTTTTTATTTTAAAGAATATAATATGCCTTGATATAGTGTAATTCTTCATTATTGCCTGTAATTTAGATGTGCAGCTTGACCGGGTGTACTTAAAACTAAATTACTTAATTACTAAATGATCACATCGTCTAAGCATTAATGTTGGCAAATGTTGTCCTTTCGGATACGTGTTCGGTCATGAACACCCTCCTTTTGGAGTAAAAAAGATGTTTGTTTGTTTGCTTGTTTTTTAATAATAATCATTATTCAATATCTAGAGGTTTTTTGCAGAGTGGAAGATACGTTATTTTGGGTATTTTAATGATGTTTAACCATATCTCTGATTAGGTTGTTCCTACTGTCTGCTGAAGACACTGTTTTGTAATTGCATGTCTTCCTTGTTGCTTTTCAAAGAAAATAATTGTAACCTTATTTTATCTTTTCTCCAAAATTGGCATCAATCATGTTTCTATAATTACCGTGAATACCAAAATTATAAACTACTAAAATCTTAGCTGTGAAAACTATCACAAGTAGAAGATCCTCGTGCGTGCAAAAGGATACAAGTTTTGTGCTTAATTGAGTGTGAAATGTCTCCAACCTCCTAAACGATATGTGATCAAAGTCTGTTTTACTGTGTAGCGACTGGATGAGTCCTGCTACATAATTACCAACTGTCTGTAACCACAGACAATGGATGTAATTTTTGGTGAAAATCTTATCGGATTTATTATGGTGAAGACACGTGCAAACTATGATCTTCAGTTACATTATAATAAGGATTGCTAATCATAAGCGCAGTTTTATTTTACAGGATTAGGCTGACTGGATGTTATATATATATATATATATATATATATATATATATATATATATATATATATATATATATATATATATATATATATATATATATATACACACACACACACACAAAATGTTTAAAAAAAAACAACA